TAAAAATGAATATCTCTGAAACCATGCGATGTATAAAGATAAAACTTTCACAAAATGTGTAACTAATAATCATAATTCATTTCCGAAAATTTCAGTTCGATCCGCTTGGCGCAAAAAAAAGCCGATTTTTTAATCTCGCTCACAATGCATACAACGAATCGACGAAGAGAAAAAGAAGCTTTAGCAGCAGCAACAGACAATATTAGCATTTGCAAATGGTAGTGATGAGGAATCTGTTTTAAACGAGAAAAACAAAAAACAATGTATATTTATTTGTTTATCTTTTGTTTCTAGTTCAAAGATCTCGAAATGAATCCATCTTCACCCTCAAATCAGGGTTCCGAATAGGCTGGAGCTATTTCATCCCATCCTATGGGACGAAAGTTTTGGAACACATGTTCCATAGAATGGGATGACATTTTTTGATGGAATTCGGTGATAGTGAGGTGTTCATAGCTTTTATTCGTAAGAAAAACGTTAACAAATACTGGTTTGAAGTGTCATCGTTGATTGCAATAGAAACTGTAGCCTTTCAGGAGTTCTGGAAACCTTCTGGCCAAAAGAAACGACGATTAATTCTCCACACCACTGTCATTTGTTCTCATATTTATACCACAGGTACATGTCTTGTTGCTCAGTGTATCCGGAAATTTTGAGCCATATGGAGCGAGAATTTGGTAAGAAAACTGCAAATGTATCTTATGTACTCTTGTATGGCTGAAACCAAAATTTGTTGTAGTGCTTGTCCCTCTATCATTTCTGATTTCCATTTGAATTGGTGGATGGTGGTTAAATGCCTAAGATATTCTCATTTGCAAATTGCCTCAATAGGCAGCTAACCATCATCTACCAATTCAAACGGAAACCAGCGGGACAACTTTTATGTATCTATGGTACAAATATGAGATCAAATGACAATAGTGTGGAGAATTAATCGTCGTTCATTTTGGCCAATAGGTCTTACAGTTTCGGTGCATTAGAAATAAGTTCTTTAAAACGATTAAGAGCCAATAATTTGATTACAATACTCTTTTCTAAATTAACAGCAACCATGATTAAATTCAAATTTATTTATTCAAAACTCTGACATTTCAACTCTTCATAGAGTCATTTCCAAAGAAAAATATAAAATACTATTATACTTTACACATAAAACATTATGAAAAGGAAATAGAAATTTTTTTCTTTGTATAGTATGTGGCACTGATAAGCAGTTAGTCAGTAATTCTGTTCTCATGCATTCTACGCTTTTCTTTTCTAATTTCTTCTCTATCTGTCTGCATCAATATTTTTCTTTTTTTTTCTACGAGAAAGGCTGTCATGAAACATGATTAAAGGTACAGATCGAACTGTACGATTTAAATCAGGATAGAGCGATGCCTATTAAGAGAGACTCCTTATTCTTTGAAAATGACTCTATGAAGAGTCGAAATGTCAGAATTTTTAATAAATAAATGTGAATTTAATCATCGCTGCTATTAATTTAAAAAGAGTATTATTAGGGAGTCTCTCTTAGTAGCATGAAATGAACAGCTATAAAAATGTGGAGACGAATGGTGAGCAGCTGAACTTTGTTCTAATCACCACTGCTGAATCAACCGATTGCTACAGCAAGAACAGTTGTGTGTAATTCTGATTTAAGATGGGCTACAGCATCGCGTGACTGTAATCACGGGAAAATATTTGAAATTAAGAGTTTTTTTTAAATTAAAAAAATTGAATCTTTTCTAAGGCGAAAACTGCGAAGTTTTGTGGATTTTAATACAAGAAAATCCGCCAGAAATCCCAAAGAGAATTCTCAGCTGAGATTTTTCCGCGTTTATGTTCCGATTTCTCGATGCTATGGCTGTTTTGTTGACAATGAAGAAAGATGGTTGTTTGACATTTTCACAGACGGTCGATGAAACGTTTGTTATGAAAGCAAAACAATATATCAGATCAACATTGATGACAACAACAAGTGCAAATGGTGACATTACGACCATTATCAGTCTCGCAATATGTGAAGCAACTGATAATTTATATGATAATTATTCATTTAAAACTACAACGACACTTTTTAATGTACAACATTCATCATCATCATTGAGTTCGCCATCTAATGAATTTAGTTCGATACTCGGAGAAAATCCCACCATCGAAAAACGTCTTCTCCAGCTTCCATTGCTGTTCTTTTTTCGTTCTGATCTGGTGCAGCCGACATTTGATGATAATGGAAGCAAATCAAACGGACCATTTCATCATATTAATGGTGATGAGTTGAACCGAATATTGAAAAAATTAGTAGCTCACAATTTGTTAACGATGGGCAATTTCATTACTCGTCCTAAGGCACGACCAGCACCATCGTTCATAAAAAATGTAATTCGAGCGATCCAGCAGAACACGAAGATTTCGTTCGCCATTTGAATAAATACAAAATTCAGCTGTTTCGTCCTGGAGTTTGATGAACCTGATGGTGAGTTATTTCCGTACACTTGTGTTTCTAATTTTATTCAGGTGACGAAAAGTACTCGATTTTAGTGGTTTTGAATAGTATTGATCAGAGTCATGGTTTTAGTCCTTTAACTTAGTTTTGAACAAATTTTGCACTACACAACGAGAAACAGCCGACGATTCATGGCAGTTGAGGTGGAATACAATTGTCGACTTTTAAACGTTTTCCAGCGCGGTCGATGATCAAACAGTTTAAAAGAGCTGCTGTTTACATTGAATTGTCGGACTTTTGAACTTTCCGTGTTGATGATGGCGGCAGGTGATCGACACAGTCACATGGACAGACCAAATTATATATTAAATTGCCAACATAGTTGAGTGTTGAAACACAACACGACGAAATATACAACATAAGCGGCATCCCAGAAGTTCTCAAGTAATTTTACTGAAGATCTAAAGTAAAATTACTTCAGAAGTTCTGGGACACCCCTGTTAACGGGTGATGCAAAAGTTTTTGCCAAAATGTCAAGCGGTATTTCTGCATGTTTTCGATATATTCGAGAATAAAGTTTTTTCGTTGGAAAGAGCAAAGTCTGAACTTCAGAAAACACAAAAAAGAATTTTTTTGTAAAATTGAGTTTGAGCGAGAAAAAATTGAAATAGTAAACGTCGTCAAGAATTCTCTGTTTAAGTGCTTTTTTCTTTATTTTTGTACTATAGCCAGAAGAAAAAAGTTTTTCTGAAAACCAAATAGATGAGAATCTATTCCGTGCAAAACTCTATCGAACCCTCTACTTTCGAAATTTTCCAGTAATTCCTCAATAGTAAAAAAGACGTATTATAAAATCCAGTTGTGGTAGAAAGCACCCTTCTGCATGAGAAAGATGGTGCACCGAGAAATTTTTTTTATTCATGGCTCAAGGTATATTAGTAAAGAATAAAATTAATTGGATTGTGCTTGCGAGTTCAGGCTTGCCTAAGAAATGTAGTTTATCGACTGAAGCTGTTTTCTCGATCAGTACTCAACTTTTATGCAATAGAAATATCATAATCGGAATCAGGATCAAAAACTAAGTCGATTGATATGTATTTCTATCTTATCCGACTACTTTGGTGTTTTTCGAATATTCACATTGAAAAATTCATTATATTTACATCCAAAATTGAAAATGAATTAAATTCTTTTTATCCTGATTCCGAATATGATATTTTTATTGCATAAAAGTTGAGTTCTGATCGAGAAAACTGAGAATTACGGGCAGAATTCCTAGTTTTTAGTCTAATTTTCAATACAAACTAGATATTTCGAAAGAAAAGAAAATAGTTTTTTATTTCGATACGTAACTTTGTTCTTTGTTTCACGACGGTTCTAATGTCGCAAGAATCAAGGGTCCAGCGCTTGAACTTGATGACCTGATTCCTTTTTGAGGAAGGAGACTCCTTTTTGAGCACCTCTTGAAAATGAATTTTTTTGAAAGACTTAATCTTTGAATTAGCGGAACCTTATCCACCCTTAGTCCGCCTGAGATTTGAAAAGACGAGGTGACAAAATAATTCTTATCAAAAAACTAATTTTCGTTTCTTAAGATAAGGCAAAATTATGTTGTTAAAAACGGTTAAAGTTTTTTCATGTCACAAAAAAACCTTTCAGGTATTTTAAAATCCCAAAGGAATTCAAGATGTTTTTTAAATCACAACTTTTTCGTATTCTAAAAATCTCAAAAGGGTTTTCTGATAAAAGTAAAAAACGTTTAAACAGTTATGAAATGATTCAAATGGTTACACCATTTTTCGTATTTTAAAATACCTTTTTCTTTAGAGAGTAGCTTTAAACACCGTGTTCGGTAGTCCATCTATTAGTTATCTATCATAGCAGCATTATGGGCATAAAAATGTACAAATCCTCGTAAAGATAAAGGTCGGCTGTATACTGCCAGTTAAGAGTGATACTGACCGTTAATAATTGCAAACCTAAAGCCTGGTATATGATATATGACAAGATGTCAAAGTATATTTGCGCAATTTGGTTCTGTCTGTTACCGGTGCGAGGATAGTCGTTGTGTGTTTGCTGTTGAATCATACATTGATAAATAATCACTCGAGCCGAACAAACTATCTATTTGTTAATTATGTTTCTTGTGACGCTGCACAGTAGTTGTTGAAAATATAAAAATTTGTTCGAATTATGCGCTCAAATTTATGAGAATATTCCACTCAATTTCAATTTACTAACTGATTTTTGAATGAAAAACTACTCCTTTCTAACAAATCTCAATTTTTGTAAAAACGTTTTCTAGACTGTCTAGTGATCTCTATCGAAATCTGCGTTATTTTATATCTATAAAATGCTAATCAATGGCTTCATAGAAAAATGCCTAGTCCCGTCTACCACATACTGATTTAAAAAATACTGAATTTTTCCAGCAACGGTACAGCATAAAACCACACTGATACGTAAATTAAAAAAAAGTTCTAATTTTGTTTAAGGGCTCTCCTCCCCCCATACTCAGAAACTTATTTTCGTCCAGGAACATTCAACCTTGATGAAAATCCCAGACAAGGTGTACCTTGAGGTAACTTAGTCATTCTACTAACTGCAGCCTCTTATGACTTGTTTTCTCAGAGTTATTCTTAAATTAGTAGTGGAAAAGTACGGTTTCGTACTTCCAAGATATCGTCGTCATTTTTCGACCTAGAAATTTCGGATTAGTTTTGAAAAATAGAAAAACGTTTTTTGTGTGTCGTGGTGTCGTTAGATTTTTCAATTTAAGTTTGGTTTGAGAGAAATTTAAAAAGTTTTCGACAAGCTCGAGAGATTTTGTTTACTTTTTGGAAAACTTTTTAAATTTCTCCCAAACAAAACTTAAATTGAAAAATCTAACGACGTTACGGCATAAAAAAAGTACTACTCTACCTTTTGAAATCAATCTGAAATTTCTAGCTTGGGAAATGACGGAGATATCTTGGAAATACTAAACGCTAAATACTAAATGTTCTAATATATCCGAACCAGCCGGTAGAAACTTTAGTTTTGAAATAGTCAGCTCAAACGGTATATCTAGCGTGAATACAACATATACTGTTACATTAGAGCCAAAAGACATATCCAATGTAACAGTAATAATAGGTGAAACTTTTTATGCAGCTATCAACGTAACCGATTGTACAAGTATCGTCGAAAAAGGATGGCTTCTTTTTCAATGTCCCGGTGACAACGTTTCATCAATAGAACTATCGGCTGAAACAATTGTACAACCATCTGTGAAAATCTTACAGCTGGTACCTATCACAATGGACAATTAAAAATTGAGAATTTTCTATATGTTAACGATGGGACCAATGCGACATTTTCTCACAATATTTCAATTCGTACAAGTAAGGCATAGCGTGCAAGATAAAGTAGTTCAAGTTTTAAACACTCACAGTTAGTTTCCTCAATCTCTAAAAAACTATAAGTTAATTTTGAAAAACTCTAAGTTATTTATGAAAAAACTTTCTATTTCTATTTTGTTTTGTCTGAAGATCGTTCAATAACATGTCCCACATCGTCTTTTCGATATATTGAGTAAAACAAAAAGAATTTTTCTTCCTGAACAAAAGAAAAAGTTCTGTTTAGTAACATTATTTGTTACATTATTATCAGTTTTCTTGACAAATTACCAACAAGCTATTGTCAACTATTCTCTTTTTTGTTGATAATTTCGACTAATTTTAATTCGAGATAGCCTGTATGGAAAATTATTCTCCGTTAATCAAACACTACTGAAATAATGTAAATTCATGAGAGAAATATCACTAAATTTCTTGTTGCTCCTTGAACAAGCTAACGGGTGGTCCATCGGTCACTTATTATTTTGCTCATATTTCAGATGAATTTTATCTTCTGAGCGTTAGTGTTATTTCAAAAGATGCTCCATGAAATTCTCTACAAAAAACACACTAAATATTGTTTTATCTATCGTAAAGATAACAGAATATAGAATAAGTACCGCGAAGCTTTAATCCTGATTGCTTTCCAACCCACCAGACAAGTAAAACAAATTCATTTTGAACACGGTACTGTATGTTAAGATGGAATCAGAACGTAAGTTCTGGTGTTCCACAGTGTCGTCTTTCTTTTGGTTGATCGTTGGTTCTTTTCGTTGGTTTAACCGTGCTTTTCTGGCACAAAAGGCGATTGTACTAAAATTTAACAAAAAAAAAAAGCGAAATTTGTCTTTTTCGCTGTGACACAGGAAAACAAGAGAAAATATTGAACGCTCTTTATGCGCATGTAACAGATGAATTATTTTACTTTAAGGTACAACAAACCGGACCTCAAAATGTTTGCTTTTGGTCGAGTTATAAAAGTTTTCGCAACTGCACCAAAACTGCAGTTGGAAAATGTTGATTTCGGAGAAAATCCATAAAAGAAAACAGATTCTCCGACAACCGATTATGATTACGAAGAGTTTTAAATATAGCCACTTGATAGAGCCTTTTAAGGACAACCCTACACATTGGTCATCTTCTTATTTTTGTTTCACAAAATATTGAGGACCAAAATTGAAAAACGTGTTTTTGAGATGCAAAGTAATTGAGATTGAAGCTTCGCGGTATTTATTCTATATTCTGTTATCTTTACGATAGATAATACAATGTTTAGTGTGTTTTTTGTAGAGACTTTCATGCAGCATCTTTTAAAATAACAATAACTCTCAGAAGATAAAATCCATCTGAGATAGGAGCAAAATACTAAGTGACCGATGTATTATGGACCACCCATTATCATAGTCAGCGGTGGTTTACTTTGTTAATTATTTTACTAATGCTTTTCCGTGTGGTGTTATTAATATCTTTTATAGTCCTCCCTACTTAGGAATGCGATACGTCAACATCTGTGATCACATTTTTTTATTTCTAGAAAATAGCAGACTCCTCCCGCTTCAATCTCACAGCAAAAAATGCTGATGTCTTTGAAAAAGAAATTACTT